AAAGCCCAGGCCCTCACAACTTACTGGGTTGGGGCCTTGGCCCAGCCTGCCTTTTAGGAGCTTCTCTGTCCCCATTCCTTACCATAGGCTCCATGGCACCCCTCAGCAAGTTCCTGCGGGATGGTGGCCCAGGCTTAAGGAGCCTTTGAACAGAGGGAAGCTTCGAAGCAGGGAGGCCTGGAGGTGCTCCCACCCGCCCCCTTGCAGGCGTTGCCCAAGCGCCACCTCACAGCCAGGTCCTTGCACTCGACGTACCAGGACGCTGGTAAGGGGCGCGTCACTATCAGTGGCAAACTGCCCGTGCCACAGCCCAGTGAGGCCAGCCATTGGTGTCATTTTACAAGAGGGTAAACTGAGGCTCATTTTACTATGTGCTCAGTAGCTTACTGGTCTGGCCTGCCTTGGCCACTATAACACAAAGCCCAGACCTGGTTCCCAGTACCCCCTTGCCCACCCTGGCCATTTGGCCTCCTTGTTCGAGGAATTAATCCCAAGGCCCATGGGAGGCAGTGTTGCAGGCCCAAAGGGCCCTCTGGGCTCTGCAGGACCCCGTCCCTGCGGGAAACCAAATCCGCGGGTGACTGAGACACACAAGCCAGTTCCAGCACATGCCAGCCACACTCGAATATGTTTGAGCAGGCACCACACAGGGAGCGTGGTGCCACACCACCATCCATGTGCGTGCTGACACGGGTGTGGACAGTATCCCTTAAACATGCCCTGGAACAGCGCTTCGACGCACGAGTCACAGGCAGGGCCTGCTGACACTCTCTGCCGTGCTTTAACCTAGCCATGGTCGGCAAACTGCGGCTCGTGAGCCACATGCGGCTCTTTGGCCCCTTGAGTGTGGCTCTTCCTAAGCCTTAGGAGTACCCTAATTAAATTAATAACAATGTACCTACCTATATAGTTTAATTTTGAAAAATTTGGCTCTCAAAAGAAATTTCAATCGTCGTACTGTTTATATTTGGCTCTGTTGACTAATGAGTTTGCCGACCACTGCCCTAGTGGATCCCATTTCACTGTGGACAAGACCCACTCATCTGTTTTGAAACTCAGGCAGGATGGCCTGAGGCCAACACCCCAAGGTCTGAGCCCTCAGCCCAGCCCGCCCCCCACCACGGCTGCTGACTCACCATCCTGCCCCCAAACACCCAGCTACACACATACACATGCACGACCCAAGCGTACATACACATGCATGTGTACATGTGTGCACATGCATGCACGTGTGTGCTGGCCAGTAAATACAACTCACACAGTCATGCCAACATACATGCAGGTACATATGCACACCAAAAAAAAACCCCCATGCATGTGCACACTTATGTAAATGCACTCAGGTGTGCACACCCAGGGCGCACACGTGGGCATACAGCTCCCGACCGCCCCAGAAGGCCCTGCTCACCCTGTAGTTGTCCTCCCGCTCACAGGCCACATGCAGAGGTGTCCTGCCCCCCTCTTCAGGGACGGACATGTTCACGCTGCTGTAGACCCTGGGTGGGCCTACTTCATTGTTGAGCTTCATGCTTGAAGGCAGCATCTCTGGCTGTGTGCAGACAGAGGGGTCAGGTCCTGGCCCAAGCCTCTCTCCAAGGGCTCAGAGACCTGCCACCTGCCCGACCAGCTGTGCCAAGAGCCCCCAGCAGGTACAATACAGATGTGCTCACACAGAGGAGCAGGCTGCCCTCCTCCTCAGACTGTGGATCTGAAGCAGCTTCCCGTGAAACCCTCTCCTGTGCGCATGCCCCAAGCCCCCCCTCCCCCCTCACACAGGTGAGCCACACATGTGCTGTGGCACAGCCAGGCGGGTCTGGGTGCACAGAGCATCAATCAACCTCTACAAGGACAAGTGAAATTTTGAACTAAATGGACAACACTGCAGAGTGACCCCAGGCTCCCTAGTGCCCCTG